TTACTTCGTATACATCTCTGATTCATTGCGACTCCTTCATACTGCATAGATAGGATTGTGGGTTGTGTTGTAGGTTAGAAGTGCACTATGTGCTGGGAGCTAGAAGGTCATAATTGCCTAGCTCTGCTGCAGTCGCGCTAAGTTCTATGAGAGACAACGCTCCGAAGCACGGACTGCTGAGCTTGCTTTTTTCTTCTACTTCGTTTTTTGACTCGGCTACACTGCCGGGGCATTTATGTCCTGACGACGCCTCTCGCGTACTAGTCATCATCGCGTGCATACCTAAAATGTGACGCAGTTATATGAGTGGCCTCCTCGTCCTTCAGCTTTGGGCGTTGTTGAGGCCTCTCCTCTCCCGCCAGGAGTATGTCACTATAAGTATACCCCATGCTTTTCACAGGCACACTTTAGGCGTCGCCGAGTTTGAAAAGATATTATCCACATGTAGCTGGTGACGTTATCCTTATGTATGCGCTGACTAGTCACATAGAACGCGCAACTGTCGTTGCGGGTGCCTTCTGATTTGGTCTTTCGTGCAAGATTTAGCTCGACTATGCTGAATGTGTTGCCGTCGATACTAGGCTCTTTGCGCTCCAGTCCATCTGTGTTGTGTGAAAAGGTTGGCCCGATTTCGGCTTTTGTGCTCCTACTCCTCCCAATGGAGGGGCCGGCTCATGGATATCCAACAAAAAGTGCTTGACTTGCATCAGCAACGAGAAATGTGACCTGGCAAAAACTTTCTGCGATCGTCCTTGGTGGTACAAGAGCAGCCTCGCACTGTCGTCGTCAGGGTCGCATCTATTGATGTGGAGACTTGAGCTCGGTGCACAGTGGGAAGAAGCAGCGAGTGTTTGGGAGGAGATTGCTGTCTTGTGGAAGCAGGTGAGCTCCTCGGCCGTTGTGCGCATAAAGAATGGGGCTGGCCTCACCTTCCGTTTTCTGTATAATGGTACCAGAGAGAGCTGAGATAGAGTGACAGCGTGGGTGAGAGAGAATAGGGCTGCCTTCTACTGGATACAGAGCAGGCATTGCTGATGTGAGTCGGGTTGTTTTCTCTGGTTGGCAGTAACTCTTGGGGTCTGGTGGGTGGGAAGAGGTGAAGGAACTGTGGCGGTGACGCACAAGCGAGATGAATTTTTCCAAATGGTGGCGGTTTCGTGGCGTAATCCCCCATTTGCTGCCACCGCATGATAGCGGGAAAAGCTGGCATGCGCTTTGATTTCCGCAGCTTCGAAAGACACAGCTTTTTGACCTGATACACCGCACGTGGCGGCGCCTTGTGGTTTTTCGTGCGAAATAAATATATATCGGAGTAACTCCTCGCATGTTGTATTATTCTGGTATGCTCTGCAGCTGCGTGCTGGCATGCCTTCTCATATAATTACTTGCTTCGTGGGGGTTCACTATTCGTCAATGAAAACAGGGCGGAGTGAAAATAGGGTGGGCGCAGTCGCAGCACTAGTTTCGTGGATGCTGGGACGTGAGCAAGGGCGACGTGCTCATCCGTTTCTTTGTTCAAATGTCCACGCGAAATGGAAACTACAACTACAACTGCGCGCCAGGCTTTGCTAGAGTCCACGACTGTGCTGCTTACTGAATGCTCGACATCAGGAGGCGAGGACTGGGGATTTTCTGAATGAAGGACTGCACCGGTGTCATCAACTAGAACGAAATCAGTAGAGGTGGACACTGAGACAGCACACGAGTCAACAGAATATATTAGACTTGATATTCCGAATGAGTACAGTCAGAGCCACTTGTAACTTGATCAAGCACTACAAAGCCCTTATCTGCGATGGGTACCCGTTAGGCTATGCGTCTACTGTGTGGAAGAGTGGCAACAGCAAAGGGAAACGCAGAAAGAGACTTAGTTTTTTGCTGGATTGTCGTGGGGGTCGCGCAAATTTCATGAATTTTGCGTGACCCCCACGACAATCCAACAAAAAAGTCCGCGTCGATCTCGAACTATCATAGTCTGGAGTATCGGGGCCTTTATTTCAGCCACCTCTTAGGCCAACTTCGCGCTAGATGATTTAGTTTCAACGAGGGGATTGGAGATGGGAACAGTACCAGCAGAACAGCAAGAAGCAGCCGCCTCTGATTATTTGACTCCAGCTTGTGTGTGCCTTAACTAGTTAGGCACAAAAGAGACGCTTTAGGACACCTAAACACAACAACGACTACGACCGTCGAAATTTAGACTATCTAGATTCTTCAGCCAAAAATTATATTACTTTTTCAGCCCAATTGATTTGGGCTATCCTGATTTGGTGGACTATCTGGATTGTCGTCGTTTTTGGAAGGTGATAGAGTTTCTATTTTTAGGCCCAGACCGAACGAAGTCGCCTCGTTTTGCGCAGTCTTTCTTTTCTAATCGTGTGGTGGCTCCTCTATTTGTGACAAAAGTTGCGTTGCGATGCTGGTTGCTACAGTGTGTTCTTTTGCAGCATGTTCAAGTGGGGTCTCTTCAAGTCTACTCTGGTTCCCTTTTTGTGTCCTCTGTTCTTTCGTCACGTGACTCTTGGGTCGTCATTTTGTAGACCTCCGAATGTGTGGATCTTCTGTCTGAATTTTGAAACTGCGCTGCCGTTCATCTTCACCTTATTCGCACAGCCTGTTGTTCACGCGCGTCTGAAAATTGTTGCTGCACTGTATGCATATCTGGTTTTCTTCTGTTTGTTGGGTGTCAAAAGTGTTAGATAATTGGAGTTTTAGTCCCTTAGCTTGTTTCAGGAAATGCACAGCACTAGGCGCTCGGGATCGATAGATAGTGAGTTTAGTTATTGATTGAGAGACGTCGACGGAGGTGTTAGCTGTGCACTTTTTGCGGTCGTACTGCTGGTTTTCAATTTATCTTGTGTTTTTTTATGGCCGCAAGGAATAGAGCTCATCCTCGTCCCCTCTTGCAGTGCCGAAGCTGCCGCAAGGAATAGAGCTCATCCGCGTCCTCTCTTGCAGTGCCGAAGCTGCAGAAGAGCCACTAGTCTACCAAGGGTGACAAGATGACAGAGTCATGGAGCGCGCCGCCCATTGGGAGCAGGATCTCCCTCATAACGGATCACGACATACGATACGTCGGCGTCCTCGTGCGACTCAATGAGAAAGAGGGTAGTCACTTCTTACATCAGACTTATGGACTCGCTGTGAAAGTCGCCTGATATGTTTTGCGTCGTGGTCGTTTCGTTGCTTTTTGGGCTGGGCTTGGATTGTATAGTAGGACCTGTAGGGCCATAGCTATATACTGAGACTTCGCCATGATCTCCTTTTTTATAACGTCCAAAACGAAAAACAGGCACCGTTGCCGTCAAAGATGTTCGGTCACTTGGAACAGAAGGGCGAAAGCATCCTGGGGTGCCGATGTCAATGGACATTCTCGACCGCATTGTCTTCCAGCTGAAACGGTTAAAGCATTTGGCGACCATCCAGGATGATAAAGCTGCGGCGACAGGCTCTGTGAGAAATAGCGACGCAGGCAGAAGTGGAGGCGCAGTGGGTTTCAGTAGACATCAGTCATCATCTTCCTCTGCTAGTAGACATCAGTCATCATCTTCCTCTGCTATTACTAGCCATCAGGAAAGCAGTTCTGGCGCTGGAAATGGAAACGCGAACAAGCGAGGGAACTGTGGCATTATTGGTCGCGCTCATGCTGGAGTAGGCGGCCGCCAAGCTGTTGGAGCACAACAACCTAACATACAAGCTCAACATCTGCAAGAACCTCAGCAGCAGGAGGCGGGGGCCCTCTCAGAGAAGCCTGGCGTTAGGAGCTCTGGCTTGAACGTGCAACAGGGGGGAAGTGTCTGTTCTTCGCAGCGCGACCAAATGCAGGGACATCCACAGTACCAACAGCACCACGAAGGCCGCAGTATGATGCAGCAAGATAATACGTCAGGCGCAATGCACCATATTCCCGCAGGCGCATGGAACCCGGGCGCGGCGACTTCCATTGAACAGGGAGCGCCAAGCCCCAGCGGCAGCAACAACAACAACAGCAACAGCGACTGCTGGCAGCAGGGTGGCGGCGGTGGTGGATATGGAAGCGGAAAAGGTGGCGGAAGAAAAGGCGGCAATCCGCGAGCTCTGCCGCCTGTCCAGAGTCAGTTACGGCCTTACGTGGCCCATCTTGTGAGCCATCTCCCTGCGCGTCTTTGCGGTGTTGTGCGTAGAATATATAAAGAACGCTGATGGGGGAAAGATAAGATGGGCCGCGGGTGTGATCCTTTCTAATCTTCATCCAGTGCGAGGCGTGCCTTTTGTGGTGTGTGACATCTTTGGCATGCGTAACGTGGATGCGCCGCCAGCAAGGTAGCCACTTCGTC